CCCGGCAGGCCAGCCCCCTCATTGAGGGCGCGCTGGGCCCCGCTGCGGCCTGCTGCCCGGCGCCATCACCTGCGGACCGAACAAATGAAGGCTTGAGTATGAACTAGACTATTTTAAAGAACGAAATTTTTCCGTAAAAATTTGGCAACGTTTCGTAACAATGATTGTAAAAATTAAAACATTTCTAGGAAAAAATGAAAAAAGAAACCAACAAAACCACAACAAACTTTTAATGAAAAGAGAATATTGGAAATTAAAATCCTTTACTTCAACTGGACACTTAATTTATCCTGAAGAAATCGGTCATGAGTTATCCGGGGGTATTCTTGGGTTAGTGTTAATCGGGGGGTAAGTCAAGGGGTAGCCCGGTGTCAATTCAGGGGTAGTTAAGGGGTAACCTGGAACCTGTTGTACACGAGATCTGCCCACTTCGCAGTGGGTAGGGCCAGGGGGCGGCTTACTGTCAATCTCGCGTAATCCAACTAAACGTTTGATATGTCTGCTGGTCCGCGTTCGAGCACGACGACGCCGACGATGGTAAAGTGCGTTCCCATTTCTCACGCGGAAACCTCTCGCTGGATAGGTTGGGCGCAAGTCCCAAGTCCCGCCTCCCGCGCACAGTCGCGGGCTGGCGACCAGCCGCGGAACACCAGCCGGGACACCGGTCGGCTCTTTCTCACTTTACGAGGTCCAGTCGCCACCGGCCTGTGCGGGTCCGCAACGCTAAGGCTACCTCAGCCGACAGCGGGCGACTTTTCCCCTGCTCGCAGTGTGTGCACGAAGTACCCCCTTTATGTTTAGGAGTCGATGTGTACAGGTGTTTGCTACCTACTCCAACATTTCATGATAAAAAACGCGCTGTTAGGTTTTTGAGTAACGGAAACAAACACTAAAATTCATAAGTGCCCCCTTGTCCTGAAATGACTGATGTCGGTAACCCCGGAAAACAATTATGTCTGCACGTGTAGCGACCCTCCGACCTCAGGTTCTAGGTAGAGGGCCTAGGGCCGTGCTAGTAAGACCCACGCAGTCACTTCCGCGCTGTGGTTATATGCGTTCGGCACATGACGCTTGCGCCCACTTTATGAAGTTCCTAAATCACCGCAGCACTGCGTCCCGGTACGTCCCGGCGGCGGTACCTCCCCAGCCCATAAATACCAGAGATGAGTGCGACAGAGACGCGTTAGTTCGTTAGTTTTCCAAATCACATTCTCATGAATCGCCCGCCACTGACAGCGCCGATGCATTTTTAATACTATCGAACCCAAAGAACGAGAGATTCCGGAGGCCCGGGCCGCGGTTTGAATACGTGAGGCGAGCGCGCCTCTCCCTCTGTTTGCCCTTGCCCACCTTCCCATCCATATTTCACCCATCGTCATCCGCATATCTCCCCCCTCCCCCTTTCCTTCTCCTCCTCACCTACTTCCCTCTTCTCGGGTCTTCCGCGCCGGCGGTTTCCTTTTCACCAAACATTTTCACCGTTTCCTTATATATACTACTTTCTGCTCTGCCCCGTCCCAACAACTCCTATATTCCCCTCCGCTTTCCAGCCTAAATCACGGCCATTCTTATGCACCGGCCGGACCACCCGGCGCGCCGCGACCTTAGGCCCTTCCTCGTCTTGCGCAAGGCCGCCTTCAATTAATACCCGGTGGCAAGCTGCGGGGCGTGGCGGGGCGTGGCGGGGCGTAGCGGGCGCGGGAAATTCATTTGTCTTGTCGTCGGGCCGCTGCGGGGCGTGGCGGGGCGGGGCGTGGCGGGGCGGGGCGTGGCGGGCCCTTTGGACGCGCACCGCGTGAATTAGCCTCACGTCGTTTAGTGGCTAATTGATGAGCATCGGTCTCGAGGAGGAGGCGGCTCGTGAGGGGAGAGAGAGAGGGAGAGAGAGGGAAAAGGGGAAGAGGGGAAGAGAAAGGAAAAGAGTGGAAGGGAGGGGGGGGGCGTGGCGTGACGTTTAAAGGAGGAACTAAGTATTTTAGAGCAACGTGTCCAACCCGATGCGTGACGTTGTTGTTTGCTGCTGCTGTTGCTGAAGTTCTTGCGTGTTTCCGAGCGTGTTTCACAACGACTAGCTCGCCTGTAAAAAAAAACAAGTACTTAATACCGTATATGGTAACGTTCACCACCTTTTTTTCCCCTCCTCATCATGCTCTTTGTTTTATAGTCCGCTGAAGTGGCGAAACATGATTTCCGTATGAGGTTCTCTTTTTCTGCAGAGATAACGCGTGACATGCCGTCTGCGCAGAACAGAGAGAAGCCATGCTGTTTGGGATCCAGACCTGGTCCGAATAGGTCTCCATTGGGCACGATAAGGCGGGCCGTGCTCGGCCGTGCTTCTTGATGAGGCGATGGGCCCCGGCCGTGAGAGTGTTGCTTGGACAACCGATCGCGCGGGGAGTGAAATGTCGCCTTCATATCGGCGAGATGCGGGCCGTTTAGCAGCGCGAGTACCTTTTGCGTCTGGGGGCCAGATAAAGAACACACACATGCGCTCACACACGTTCTCCTTTAGCGCCATTATGAAGATGCGAGTGTCACGGTGGTGAATCGAGTTGCTTTACGAACACCAGGTGCCCAGTGTCATCTCATGCGCGCGCGTTTGCGTTTGGTGTGGCAAGAGGGTGATATAACTTAAACAGGCACAAGATACATACAATACATTGCCCCATTTCAATTGGGTCGCAGAAAATCCCTTTGAGCTCTTCCACCGCCCATGCTGTCCTTTCTCCTCGGTGGGAACAGGGATCGCCTATACAGTACGTCCGTTTCTCTCAGATTCATTGAGAAAATGACGGGACCTTGGCGCCTGCGAGACACGGGGTAGGCCACCCTGCGGTACACGCATGCACCGCAGGCAAGATAGTGCCTACCTACCAGGCGCTATGGGTGCTTGTAGAAGCACAACTGGTCAGTTTGGAAACGTAAATTGACGGACGTACCGGATGTAACTGTGAATACGGAGCAGTGTTGCGGGTTCGCGGGTTTGCATACTCAATATGGCCGCAGGAGCCGTGGCACCTTACGGGCGTTGAGAGTAGGCAAACCCGCCACACTGCTGCGTATCCACAGTTACACCGGTACTTACTGGATGATTCCATATTTCAATCACCCCACATAGCGTTTTTCAAGATGCCTGCTTTTCCTTGTGCTCAG